ACACACACACACACACACACACACACACGCACGCACCTATGTATAAATTTACATATGTGGCACCAAGTAAGTGATGTCTAGTGGGGATGTTCTTTGGATTAAAGTCTGCAGCTCATCAAAATAAAAGCTGTTTTTGCCGTTCTCTGTGGCTGAACAGTAACATGCACCGCACAGAATCAGTTTTAAGGAAAACAAAGTATTTTACATTTGTTTGGATGGTCGCTGGAAGCTAATAATTCAAAGTTAAAACATTCTCATTTTGGCATAAAATCCGTAGGCATTTTAATTGACGTCAGAAATGGTAATAAACCCCTAACAGTCCGGGTACCTCTTTTAGTTGGTTTACTGTGAACTTACAGGACTCAGTGCTAGTCTTACCAGCAGTCCTGTGGGGACCGGGAGAAGAGAGGCTTCCAGCGTGCTTTCTCCTTGGAAGTGGGAATTGCAGGTTCACGCAGTTGACTAGTGAGAGCGTCCTGTAAGACTGAGAGTTGAATGTGAGTTTTTTCTTTGCATTTTTGCTTCCGCTTGCCCTCAGATGATTCCTCTAATAGGAAAGGCTGCAAAGGTTTAAGAGAGAAAAGGTTCAAATGTATGTTTTAAAGGTAGCGATCAGGGATTTTAAAATTAACTGCATTTTAGGGAGGTCTAAAGAGGGTCTTCTAGAATGTGAAAGGAGGTGACAGTGGTGAGTGGCAGTTGGGTTGAATGCTTGCTTGCTCACATCTGGACCACCTGGGGATGTAGAAAGTAAGTTTACTGGGGCCAGGAACGTAGCACGTGGAGGTGCTGAATGACGGGGAAGCTGAGGCACCCTGAAGCGGATTTCTTGGTCCCCCAATGCCCTTTTCCCCTAGGCTTGTGTCTCACCCAGCTACTTCGGAACCTAAAGGCCCCACAGCATTGGTGCATCGTGACAAAGCCTTAAAAAACACAATAGCTTACAGAGTTGTCTGCTCAGATTAATTTCAATAATTGCAGTACAGGGTTACATCAGAAGAGGTGACATTGTCAGACACAGCCTCTTGTTTCCCAGCAAAACTATAACCCCTGGAAGGCAGAGACCATTTCCTTCTGG